TGACCACCTTGATACCACCATTGTGTGAGGAAGCCCAAGCTAATTACCTAGAGAATGTAGAAGAAAACAGAAAAGCTCAGCTGATGACTGACAATGAGAACCAAGTCCTGGATACATGGCCATGTCTGAGCTTTTCCAGCCAACTCCCAGCAGTATGGACCACTCCAGCAGACACCATGTAGAGCAGAATTGAGCTGTCCCTGCCAAGCCCAGCCCAAACAGCGAAACTGAGCAAATAAATGGTGATTTTTTTCTTTCAAGCTGTTAAATTTTGGGGTGGTGTGTTAGGCAGCAATATATAACCAAAGCACATTTCTCTCTATAACACCTAAAATCATGTTATGCATCCTTACTCTTTGAAAAATTCTGAATTAAGTGATGCTCTAATATTCTAGAAGAGCATGCATGCTGTCTCCCTCTCACAGACTCAGACATCACCAGATAGATGCACAAACAGGAAATTGATTGAAGACTTGTGGCGTGCCAACATGACCACAATAGCCTCCCAAATGGTCTCTTTTTTCTCTTGTCCCCTTGCACCTGGGAGCAGCCAAAGAGAGAATGTTTGCTGAATGCAAATCTGACCACATCACTCTCCTGCTTATCACCCACTGCAGTGTGCATGTGGGGTCTTCCCAGGTTCAATACACATGCACACTCAACAGATGACCATAAGCCACACTTGGCATTGACCTATTCTGAAGGATATAGGATAGGAACCTCAGCATGGCATTCAATGAATTCACCAGGCCCTTCTCTCAGTGGGGTTCCTTCCTGCTGGCCAGCAGAGTAAAGCATCGGTGCAAGGAGATGGGATCCCATCAGTGGGTGCAGGAGCCATCCCAGCTTAAAGGCTTCATGCCCCAAGGGAGCCAACATCTTTGGACCTGCCCAGTTACAGGAGTCACCATGCTCAGGAAGCCCAAAGTATGATTTTTCTACCAGGTATTTATTATTCCTTCCAGACGTAGGTTACCAATTTCTCAACCCTTGTTTTTTTTTTTTTAATTATTTTAAGAACAATTTTAAATTTAGAGAAAAATTGGGAAGGTAGTACAAGAGTTCCTATATACCTGGCACCCAGTTTCCTCTCTTATTAACATCTTACGTTGGTGCAAGACATTTGTTACAACCAATGAACCAATATGGATACATTGTTGTTAGCCAAAGTCCATATTTATCCAGAGTTCCTTAGTATTTACCTAATGTCCTTTTTTTTGTCCAGGATCCCACTGGGGATACCGCACTACATTTAGTTGTCACATCCTTTTAGGTTCCTCTTGGCTGTGACAGTTTCTCAGACATTCCTTGTTTTTGATGACCTTGACCATTTTGAGGAGAATTGATGAGGCATTTTGTATAATGTCTGTCAATTGGTATTTGTCTGATGTTTATATCATAATGAGACTGGGATTGTGGATTTGGGGAGGAAGACTGCAGAGGTAAAGTGCCATTCTCATGATATCATATCAAGGGTACAGGCTGTCAACATAATCTGTCTGTTGATGTTGACCTTGATCATGTGGCAGAGGTAGTTATATCTGTCACATTTCTCCTCTGTAAAGTTATCCCCTCTTCATACTGTACGCCCTGAAAGTGACCATACTCATCCCACACTTCAGAACTGGGGAGTTATATTCCGCTTCTTGGGGATGGAGTATCTATATATTTGGAATTCTTTGTGGGAGATTTATCTTTTCTCCCCCCTCTTTTTTTTCATTTGTTATATTTTAGGTTACAATTCAATAATACTTTATTTTATTTGATTGAAATTGTCCAGCTTTTGAAAGCTCTTTTAGGTGCTCCTTATGTCCTTTGACACATCCTCATCATTGTGTGTATGTGTATGTGTATGTGTGTTTGTGTATTGAAGGACTTCTTTACTTCCTGGCACTCCATGCTCTCCAGCAGCATGTATGTCCTGCTCCCGTCCCAGAATCAGCCATTTCTCCCTGGTTCCTTGTGTTGGTGAATGGTATTAGAAACCAAGTTTGGGCACGGTGTGTGCTCGATACTGTGCAGCATCATTGTCCAGGCTCTCTGAGCTGCTAGAGAGAGGAAATGTACATGTGTATACGAACCTGTGTGCATACACATATCTATAAATATTTCTGTATGTAATCTTCTGCATCTAAATTAAGTTAAACATGAGTTCATACTGATTTCTCCCCTTTTTAAAAAAAACAGATTTTATTAATTTATTTGAGAGAGACAGAGAGAGCACAAGCAGGGGAAGGAACAGAAGGGGAGGGAGAGGGACAAGCAGACTCCTTGCTGAGCAGTGAGCCCCGCATAGTGCTAGATCCCAGGACTCTGAGATCTTGGCAAGAGCAGAAGTCAGACACTTAACTGCTTAACCAACTGAGCCACCCAGGCGCCCCTGACATTTCCACTTCTAATCAATTACTATGTGGATCATTCCAGCCTCTTCCTCAGGGGTCATTTTTATCATAGCTATGTTGCCTAGTAACCTAGTGGACATATGTTTATCTGTTTCCAAGGAAACAGAGCTAGATAGTTAACCAAAGGTCAAATTCTCAGGCAAAAGAGGAAGAGGTTTTGTTAACCCTTTACTCACACAGATAGATCAGTGGCTGCCACTGCTCTGTGGGTCAGAACCAACTCCCTGGCCTATGAGCCCTACAGCCACCTGGCTTCCTGACAGTCCAGCCTCCTCTGCTCCCATGTTCCTCCATGGCAACCGCCCTGGCTCTGCTAAGCCTCACACCATCCTTCTCCTCTCCCAGGGCCTTTATGCATGCCAGTCCCCCTGCTGGGCAGGTCTCTTTTCTCTACCCTCTTTATCAGACTGCTGCAATTCATCCTTTGGACCTTAGCCCAATCCTTGTTTCTGCAGGAGAGCCATCTCCATCTCCTAGACTTGGTCAGCACCCTGTCACAGGCTCGGCACAGCACTATGTCCTTCTGCTTTGTGGCACTTACTACCGTAGCAGTGTTACATTTTCTCATGCTTTCCTTCCATTAGAATATGAGCACCTTGAGGGTAGGGCTGAAGTTTACCTAGTTAATCAGTATATAACAGGTGCTCAGTAAATATGTGCTCCTTTTCTCCATTCTTCATTTAATAAATATTTATTAAGGGCCTACTATGAGTAGGCCCCTTTTCTAGTCTCTGGGGATCCAGGAGGAAGGGAAACAGGCCAAGCTTCTGCTTCTTGGTAGTTACTTTTTAGTGTGGGGGGGGTGGTGGTGACAAAAACAAAGAAATAAGCTAATGTCAGGAGTTGATAAATGCTATGGAGAAGTCAGAGTCACTCTCTTTAAGGATTAAAGGGTGCCGGGCCCTGCTAGTTTTAAAAGGATGGTCTGGGGGCACCTGGATGGCTCAGCGGTTGGGTTGTTCAGTGGTTGAGGGTCTGCCTTCGGCTTAGGTCGAGTCCTGGGATCAAGTCCCACATCAGGTTCCCTGCAGGGAGCCTGCTTCTCCCCCTGCCTGTGTCTCTGCCTCTCTCTGTGTCTCTCATGAATAAATACATAAAATCTTAAAAACAACAAAAAAATGATGGTTTGAGAAGGTATCTCTGAGAAGGTGACGTCTGACCAAAGACTCGAAGGAAGAGGGGGGTGAGGTCTGGGGCTATCAGGGGGAAGAGTGTCCCAGGAAGAAGGAACAGCAGGCAAAGGCTCTGAGGCAGGACTATGCATGACTGTGGGAGGGAACAGTGAGTGCCTTACAGGGAGGTCTCAGCCAATCGCCCGAGCCCTTACTATGTCCATTTCACAGGTGAGAAGCTGGGCTCCAGAAGCTCTGGCGCCCTTTGCGCAAGACCACGCAGGTGCGGCGGGGGCGGTGCTGGCAGGCACACGGGAGTCTGGCGCCCCAGCCAGCTTCCACTCCAAGTCCTGAACAAGGACTCTAGGGCAGGAAGGAGGGACCGAAGCGTCCCCATCCCCAAGGTCCCGCCCAGGTCTCCACCACACCAGCCTCAAAGGCAAATGCCCCCAGTTTCCAGGCAAGCAATCCTGGTTGGCACGGACTGCACAGACCTCTGGGGCAGGACATGTCAGGCTCTCCCATGAGGTGGCAGAGGAGCCAGGACGGGACATCCTCATCCGCCTGCCCTTCAGTGGCCAACGCCCGGCTGATCTTCGGAAAGCCTCCCAGAGCCTTCGTTTTCATGATCCCGCTGACAGAGGTGAACACTGAGGCTCACAGAGGTGAGAGGACTCAGCTGAGGACACGCAAGTGATCTGGCCTCTACGCCTTCCTGGAAACTCCATCATCTTCACACTGAACTTCTCTGGGGGCTTGTCCCGGGCCAGAGACGGGATGTCCCCGTCACCTTCTGGCTTTGGGCACTTCACTTGATTCCGCCTTCGTCCCGGCCTGTAAAGGAAACAGCGAGAACCTACCCGCGCACATCCGCGCACACTGCGCTGGGCTCGAGGGGATCAGAGAGGGGCCCTGTCCTCTGGGAGCGGCCAGTCCCCGGAGGACGCTGGCACGCAGAGAAAATAACTTTTCAGAGGTCAGAGCAACAATGTGCGCAGAGGGCCAGCCCAGGGAAGGGGCCCGAGGCAGGCTTCCCCGGGGAGGAGGCACGGGCGGCGCTGTGTGCGGCCACCGGCAGTTCCCCAGGAGAACTCCTACCGCGGACCCTGCGCCCCACCGTCCCACAAAGAGCAGGGAAGGGGGAGGGTTCGTCAGGAGCTTCCTTTCAGCCTTCAGGTGGCGCCCTTGAGCCACGGAGCCGCACGCGCCTGGGAACACCGTCCCGACCTAAGGACCTGGGAGAGGACCCGGGTCCCACCCCGGGGCTGTGCGAGCTGGGCGGAGGGGGCGACCCGGCTGTGCGCCGCAGTAGCGCCCCAGGGAGGGGCTGGGGGGAGGCAGACGGCGGGGGAGGGGTCTCCCTCGGCACCCACCCCCGCGCCCCGCCCCTGCACCCAGCCCCGCGGGCTCAGACCTTCAATTCCCGAGCCGGGGCGCCGACGAACAGATAAGCGCTCCGGGGCCGGGGAGGGCCCGGAGCCCGATCCCCCGCCGGCCCGCCACCCGGCCCGCCAGCCGCCTCCCGGTCCCTCCCCGCGCGAACTCTCCGCGCGCCCTCGCCGGCCGCGGGCGGAGCTCGATCGGTCGCACCGGGAGCTCCGGGCCCCCGCCCCTGCCCCTCCCTCCCGGAGCCCCCAGCGGCCGCCGCCGTAGAGCCCCGCGCGGCGCGAGCAGGTACGTGCGCCTCGGCAGCGGCTCCGGGCCGGGCCGGGCCGGGCCGGGCCGGGGAGGGGGCGGCAGCCGGGGAGGGCGAGGCGGCGGCGGCCGGGCCCGCGCGCGCCCGGGCTGCGCCGCAGCGGAGACACCGGCGGCGGGCGGGCGCCCCGGGAGGGCCGGGCGGGGAGCCTCCCGCGCGCGGAGCCGGGGAGGGAGGCCCGGCGCAGGTACGCACGCGGACGGGGCGGCGGGGGCCGGCGGGAGGCCGAGGGCCCCGGGCGCGGAGGGCCGGCGCGGGGAGCTCGCCTGACCTCGCGGCCCGGCCGAAGGACACGCGGCGAGGGGACCCGGGCGCACGCCGGTCGGTGCGGGGCCGGGCCTCCCTGGGCCGCCTGGCCGCCCTGCTCCCGGCGCCGCCCGGCCCGGTCCGGCCTGGCCCGGCCGGGCGGGGTCTGTGGCCGCGGGCAGGAGCGGGGCGCGTGAGCTGCGGGCCGGCGGGCGGCGGGGCTGCAGGGCTTTCTGCGCGGAACTTTGGGTCCAGCAGCGTGGACCTGCGTATGCGTATGTGCGCGCCCCGAGGCTTTGTGTACAACTCGTGCGTGTGTGTATCGATTGGGTTTTGTGAAGCTTCACCCGCGGCCGCTGTGCGTCTGTCTCCCCGCGTGTTAGTGAGCACGGGGCGGGGGACTGGGGTGCTGGGCCCTGGGCGGGTCTTGGTGGGTGCCGTCCCGGGGGCAGTTGACTGCGTGTGCTGACCAGCCCTGCCCTTTCCCTGGGTGTGAGTCCCAACGTGGTCTGCGGACCTGTGGGTCAATACTGCGTGGCCTCCCAGGTCTGTGGGTGCTGCCTGTGGAAAAGGTCCCGGGGTGTGAATGTGGAACTAGGGTGCGTCCTTCAGGTCCTGTTGGACTGCAGATGAAATCGGAGTGTTACCGGTACCCTTGGGAGGGGGGCGGTGAGCAGTGGCCACCAGCATCTTTGTCAGTATGTCTGTTTCCGCTTGTGTGGGGGTAACTGGGCATGCCCTTGTATAACTGCTGGGAATGTCTGAATCTGGGTGGGAGACATCACAACTCTAGGTGACAGGGCGCCTCTTTTTTTCTCTGCCCCTTTCCTAACTCTGGCATCCTCAGAAAAAGTTTTGGGTCCCTGCTCCCAGAATTTGGGTGCCCTGAGTTTCCTTGGGGTATGGAGGCATGAACATGCTGGTCTGGGAGGAGAGTTCTTCCGCCACTCCAGGAGCTGAATTCTGTGGGGGGTGCTGAAGATCTGTGTGGAAAGGGGCACATCCGGACACCCACTGGACAGGAATGGCGACTGCCCCTCCCTGTTTGTGGTGGCACTCAGGAAAATGTGTTTGGTACCAAGAGTAAAAAAGCCAGCCAGCACACCACATCTCGACTCACCGTTTACTGGAAAGTGGGAACAGTCTGGGCAGAGCCTGGCTCTGAGTAGGTACCCCGCTACCCTGGGTTCCGCCACCCTGGGTTGGGGAGGGATTGTCTGCCTGGGCTGGTTGCCAAGCCATTCCTGAGCGCTGGCAGTGTTCCAAGCCAAGGGGGCTGGGATCCAGATGGGACTCAGACACATCCCTGCCCTCAAGCTGCTCACTGTGGCCTTAAACAGTGGGACAAAGTAGAATCTACGAGTGGGGGCTGGAAGAGCCAGGGAGGGAGGGTGGAATGATGCCACCTGTTCAGGGGAAGGTGGGGCCGCAGGTTTGTAGGTGGTAACAATTCTTAGGGAAACTATTCAACTTCTGGCCCCCACATGCATGCCGGGGGATCTTGGCTACAGTCTGTAAAGCAGAGATAGTAATTCCTGCTCATGGGGCTGGTGATGGTTACAGGAGAGTCTGCCACAGGGCAGGCGGGTGCTCAGTAAACGTTCATTAAATTGGAACTCGGGAAAGACGTGGTGGTAGGAATGGGTGTAAGTGGAAACAGGCTTTGTACTCAGATGAAAGGCCCTGTGTGTGCTAAGAGGAAGTATCTGCTGCAAAGTCCACGTTGGAAGGAAGATCAGAAAGATTGAAAAACGTGCCTTCCTGCACTGGGGCTCTGAGTTTCATTCATTCATTTGTTCCATTCAATTGCACCTTCATTTGCTCATATTCTTTCTCTCTTTCTCATTCTCTCTGTCTCTGTCTCTGTCTCTGTCTCTCTCTCTCTCTCTCTCTCACACACACACACACACACACACACACACACACACAGAACCACAGGGCACGGGAGGATAAACTCAGGCATGGCAATGCAGAGAAACATCTAGAATCATGTGTATATGTGTCGGCACACCAGGGCGTGTGAGCCACTCTGTACCTGGGGGTCTCTGTGCAGCATGGGGACTTGGGTCTGTGTGCCTGGAGCCCTGGGTATATATGTGCCCCCAGGATGTTGGTGTGTACAGGGAACAAAGGAGTTCTGCAGTGGGGTCAGGTGGGGAAGGGGCCTGAACTGAGAGCTGGGAGCGGGGGCAGCACTGGATCTGCCTACGGGAGGACACATCATCCAGTCCAGCTGAGTGTGGTCGTGAGGGAATGAGGACCTACGTTGGCCAGATTCTTCCATTTTGCAAGAGAAGCCAGGAATCCAAAGTTTAAAATGTAAAATCTTTTGCTTTTTATATATTGGCAACTACTTCAAAAACAAATGAACAGACCAGAAACAACAAAAAAGTAAAACTTCTCTGAGCCAAATATGGTCCATTGGCTGAAGTTGGCATTCTTTGACAGGAATGCATATGTGTTGTCTGTGTGTGTGGGTGTATGTTCGGATGCTTGGGTGGTGTATCTCCTCTTTGAGCAGCAGTGCCCCCTTCCGTCCCCCATCCTCAGCTCCCCTTCTGCCCCTCCAGGTGCCCCCCCCATCTTCTACTTCCATAAAAGGCATTCAGCTTTGACCTCATGGCTCTCCAATGGGCTCCACGCAGGAGTCTGAGAGAGCTCCCTGAAACCTAGGCAGATGTCAGTACTCCCTGTGCCCACACCTAGCCTTCCTGGCTCCTTGGCCTGGCCTCTAGCATCCTTGGGGAACTGGTGCCAGCTGACATCTGAGGCACCCCTCTCTAGAATGTCCTCACCTCCGCTCACTGCGGGGGGATTGCCCACTCATCCTCTGAGGTCCGGCTCAAATGCTAGCAACTCCTAGAAACTTCCCTTTCTTCTCTTTGTCTTCACACCATCTTCATCATCTCTGCCCCGCGCCCCACCCTGCGTGAAGTCACCCTCATTTCATCACAACAATGTCCATTAATTTAACTGGCTGAGGCCTTACATTATTTTATGAAATCCTTACATCAACCCTGGGAGGGAGGCGTTTTGCCTATTCCCATTCAACAGATGAGAACACTGAGTCCAGAGAAGTCACATCACCTGCCCCAGTTCGAGTGGCGGAGCTGGGATCTGTACCTGATGTCCACTGTCTGAATGATAACTGAGCACTTACACTTCTGAGTCCTTGATGTGGATGATTTCAGTTCCGACACCAGTCCCATTAAGTAGGGAGGTGTAGTATTATTGTCCCTTCATAGACAGGGAGCCGAGGCCCAGAGAGGATAAGTAAATTGCCCAAAGCCACGCGCCAGCCAGTGGTGAAGCAGCATCCTGACCTGGATGGGATGGCACTGCTCTTCCATTGTCTGATTCCCCATCTTCATTTCTGCCTGGCTGGCTCCCCTAGGTGGGAACGGTGCCCAGGACACCCTCACATTGCTCCTGGCCTCAGTGTGATGTCTGGCGCCAGCAGGCTCTTGGTAGAGGTGTGTTAAATTTGACTGACTTTCTCTCCTCTCTTCCAGCTGCCAAGGGGCCAAGGGATGAGCGGGGGCCCTCCTTCCTAATGGCATCTCCCCCCGGTCTGGAACTGAAGACACTGCGTAATGGCCCCCAGATCCCAAGGAGACCCGCTCCTCTGGGCCCAGTGGCTCCGCCCCGGGAAGGTGTGGAGAACGTCTGCTTTTCCTCAGAGGAGCATGAGACCCATTTCCAGAACCCTGGGGACACCAGACTGGGCCAGTCCCCTAGCCCCCCGGGGGGCATCCCCTCACAGCCCCGATCCCAGCGGGACGATCTATCCCTGCGATCAGAAGAGGGGCCCGGCCTAGAGCCCGTGAGCCGCCCAGTGGATTATGGCTTCGTCTCTGCTCTGGTTTTCCTGGTGAGCGGGATCCTCCTGGTGGTGACAGCATACGCCATCCCCCGGGAGGCCCGTGTCAACCCTGACACGGTGACAGCGCGGGAGATGGAACGCCTGGAGACGTACTATGCCCGCCTGGGCTCCCACCTGGACAGGTGCATCATCGCGGGCCTGGGGCTGCTCACAGTGGGCGGCATGCTTTTGTCAGTCCTGCTGATGGTCTCCCTGTGCAAGGGTGAGCTGTACCGCCGGCCCACCTTCGTCCCCGGCAGGGGCTCCGGGAAGACCTACGGCTCTATTAACCTGCGCATGAGACAGCTCAATGGGGAGGGTGGCCAGGCTCTGGTGGAGAACGAAGTCGTCCAGGTCTCGGAGAGCAGCCACACCTTTCAGGGGTCTTAAGGAAGAGTTCACCCTGTCTGGCTGCTTCGGCTGCAGGGTGACAAGCTTCCTCCCGGCCGCCGCCCCGAGTCTGGCGTTGCAGACTGAGCTCCATGGAGGGCCCTGCAGAAGGAGCCTTGGGTGCTGGTGGGGGTGGGGGGAGTCCTGGGGTCAGGACCGGGCTGCACGTGCCAGAGTGGCCCCCTGATCTGTTTGCAGCTTGAGGTTTTGCATAAGGTCTGTTTGGAGGATGGCTTCTGCTGCTAAAAATACAAAAGTTTGGAAACGCTGCCCTTGGAGGATGAAGTTTCAAGGTTTCTTGGCATTTTGGAGAATTGAGAGCCATTTGAAAGGCTGCCCATCCTGTTCCCCAGGCCTTGGGGAGTTCCAGGATCTCTGTTGCCCTCATCAGCCAGGTGTGGGTGCTGGGCGACCTTGGAGGGGATGCCCTCTCAGCACTGACTGTCTGCTGGGAGGTGGCCTCCCGATGAGAGGAGAAATCAATGCTGAGGTGACCGTTCCCTCTCCAGCCTGCAGTCCCTCTGCCTGGGAAGTGAGAGGGGTGGGCTGGATGATCCCCGGGGCCCCTCCAGTTCTGCCCTAGGAAGAGGAGCCCACTAGATCTCTGCATCTGGCCACTCCTGCAGGAAAGGAGGGTGGCTGTTCACCATTCTTTTGCCATTTTCTAGCCCCACTTTGATGACTACCCCCTGTTGGACATCCAGCAGCTCGCACAGTCCTGCTGAAGAGCCCTGCTAAGGCCCCCTGGTTAGGCTGAGTTCAAGTCCAGAGTTTGCTAGTTCAAATCCAGAGTTTGCTACCGCCTGATTTTGGTCTTGGGATCAAATTACCCGCAGTGACCAGATCTTAGTGCACATTTTGCAAAGTCAGGTGCCCAGTTTTCACCAACCCCATAGACATGAGAGGTCTTTCATCCAAGAAAGGGTGAGGGCTTTGTTGTGTTTCCATGGAGATGATATGGGCTTCCATTACCTCCCCCTTCTCAATATTATGTCTGGGCCTGACCTTATTCTGGTAGCAGAGACAAAATGATTTTCATGCTGAATTTATAACCTCCCTTCTCCCCCTCAGCAGTAAAGCGAGCCCCTATGTATTTGGGAAGAAATCAGGCACATTCTGGTGGCCTAGAAGCTCCAGCCGCAGTGACCACCATTCAGTTTTTTCTGTGGCATGCTTGCAGGCTCTGTCCAGATTCTCTAAACCACTGACAAGGAAAGGAAGAGGGCCCTAGGGGGCAGGGAGATACAGGTACTTGGGGACTGGGGGAGGCATGGCCCCATGTGAACTGCCCTGGGGGGATTTGAGAGTGTGTGCCTTCTCCACCCTGCTGGTGTGAAGACTCTAAGGGGGGGGGGCATTTCCAAGAGCCCCCTGACCCCATGCAGATCCAACTCACTCCATCTCAGTTGGCCATGTGGGCTCTGGCTGCTAACTGTCCCTTGAGGGTGGGAGGGTTGGGTAGGGATGGGGTCTGTAGGCTAGAGCAGCCCTGATTAGCTGTAGCCTGAGCCTTCCCTCCCGGGAGCCGAACATCTGGGCAATGAAACATCACAGCTTCTAGGACAGATCAAATATCTGCTCCTGCTGGCAGATTTTGCCAGGAGCAGCGGGCTGGGGGAGGACTAGAGGGGACAAGGGCTCTTCAGCTTGGTCTGCTGGGTCCTGTTCCTGGTGCCGAAGGGGTATGGTTTCAAAAGAACAAAGCCTCGGAGTTGGTAAAAGCTTCACAAGTCCGGGGCTTCCCTGATGTTTCTATTCCCCCCACCCGCGCTCCAAGGGAAGAGTAGATGCACAGAGTGGCAGGAGCCCTTCTAGGTAAACTGCAGCCATGCTGAACATCCCAAAGGATGGGCTGAGGCCTTTCAAAATCCACAGCGATGATAACAGAAATACTGGTCCAAGCCACATGGATTACATGACGGCGGGGGCCTCATTTGACACAAACTTGTTGAGTGGATGCATATGGGGCCACCGATTCTGATCAGTTTGAAGGCAGTGAATTGTATTTAAGGGCTAAATCTGTTAGAAGATGAAATCCCGGGAATCTCAGGTTTTCTTGAAGCCAGAGAGCCTGCTTTGCATCCTAATGCAGAAACTCCTTTAGAAAATTCGTATAATGGATCAAGGCAGTCATTACCTTGTCAGTGAATTAAGAAAACTTGAGAGATGCCAAAAACATTTCCCCAAGACTGCAGCTGAGCTCTCTCAGACGGTGGGGCAGAAACAGGTTTAGGAAGGAATCAGGGAGGAGCATGGTGCACGGTGCCGAGAACATTCTTTGCAGGTTTTTTGACGGTAGGTGTGAAGTGGTCCCAGGAGACCCTGTGGTCACTGGACCGTGCCTCACTTCCAGGAACTGCCTCTCCTACCCGATATGCTACTAGGGTCCCCCAAACCTTGCTTCCCTAGTGTGTTAGATATCTACTTTGGAGTTGGTAAAACCTGGCTTTGAGTCCAGGCTCTGCCATTTACTGGTTGTATGACCTTGGGCAAGCTCTCTGAGTAGTGTTCTTTATCAGTGAAGTGGGAGATGTATGAAGTCCAGTCAATATGCTCACTCCTTCCCCACCTCAGTTGGGGGATAATTGGATTAGGCCTTAAACGCCAGGCCCACTTTCTACCTGCCTCCTCCCATACCTCTCATCCTACCCATGAGCACAGCTGGTTGGTTCTGTGTTAGGAATCTGCCCCCTGCCCACCCCTCAGCTACAATTACCTGGTCCACATTGCTCATTGGAATTTGAATTTCTCTCCTGTCCACTCTGTGTCCATTTCGCCTTCCACTTTGCAGCCAGATTTAATTGGGTCAGGTCACTCTTTTGCTCAAAACCCTCCTATGGCTCCCTCTCGCTCTGGGCAGAAGCCAAAATTCTCCCTTTGGCCAGAGGTCGATATACTGTCTAGGTCCCTCACTTGCCCTAGGCCCCTCCAAGGCTCTGAGTCAGTTTTATTTGTAATTTTAATTTTCTTTATTCCTTAAAGAATAAAGAATAGAATATCCCCTGAAATTGCATAAATTCAGGTCCCCCAGACATGGGTACATCCCCCACGTGGCCCATGAAACCCTACGAAATCTGGCTCCTATGCCTCTCTAACCTATTTCTCACCCATTGCTTCTTTGCTCTCTCCATCCACACTTGCCTCCTTGCCATTCCTGCCAGGCACACTCCCACCTCTAGGGCCTTTGCACTTGCTGCTCCTTCTACCAAAAAGGCATTTTCCCTTAAAATGTGCAAGGTCCACTCGCTCACCTCCTTAGGGGCTTTATTCAGTATCACCTTTTCTTTTCTTTTTTTTTTTTCAGTATCACCTTTTCAATGAATCCTCTGCTGACTGCCTATTTAAAATTGCACCTTTCCCCCACTCCAACATCATTCTTTTTCTTCCCTGATTTTTCTCCAGAGCACTAATTGCCATTCAGCTGGCTGTGTTTTATACTTACTTATTGTCTATCTCTCCCACCACCTGCCCACTGGATTGCAAGCAACAGGAGGGCTGGCATTTCATAGTCCCAGGGTTGGAACACAGCTTGACACCCGGTAGGTGTTTACTGTTGAATGAATGAACGTAACCAAAGTTTCCTGTCTGCTGCACTGACCCAGGCCCTGCTGGGTCCCAGAGACCCACAGACCCTGCCTCAGCTCCTAGAGCCCCACTTAGGGATGGGAGACAGTCATGCAGAAGAAGATCCCATGGCTGGAAGTAGGGACAGAGTTGTCTCTGGGACCTGAAGTTGGAGCTTGGAAACCTATCTGCCTCCTCTCTCAGGCCCTTGGTACTGCTTTATTATGTGGGAGAGGTAGAGGACTTTCTCTGATGGAGGAAGACCCTTTTTCCCCAGTCTTGTTGAGGAGATTCCTCATAACTGCTGCCTTCCTTGAGAATAAGCGTCACCTTCTCTGGGATTCTCTTTAAAATGTCCCCCCTAAGTACATGTACACATGTACACATACGCATACGTGCAGGAGCACATACCTCTGCATGCACACATGTGGCTGTGCACACACATTCACACGACATCCTCTCGTCTGACCTAGCTCGGAAGCCAGGACATATGCTCTTTTGAAGCAGTTCCAAACTAAAGCAACCTCTGGATTATTGAGAACGTACCCTCTTTCTCCAGAAGACACAGGCCTTGCAGTTCCCAGGATGCTAACCTCACAGCAACAGTCAAGTTTACCCTTTCCCTATTATCCTGGTGTCTCCATTCTTCCTGCTTCCCTGTGGGGTGGGGGTAGGCGCGGGAGATGTCCACAGAGTCTTTCCAACTGGCATCTTGGGAGGGGAACTGTGTGGTCCTGGCTGGGAACCAGATGAGCCAGGTCCTGTAAGTCACCCCTTCCCTGTGGGCCTCTGGGCCATCATTCCCTCTCTGGTCCTCCAGAATGAAATTGGAACCTTGCCACTCTGCCTTGTTTGGGGACTGAGGAGATCAGGAAATAAAAGCAGAGGACATTTCAAAGTTAAGAGTATGTTACTCCATGTCTAGAGAGCTTTGGAAGGGCAGGAGGAGGGAGAGGGAAGGGAGGTATTATGAAGAAGCCACAGGAAGTGGAGTTCTGTCTATGGGTTCTGTCGGTGAGGAAAGTAGGGTGTTGGTCATGCTGACAAAGTCAAGGAGATGCCCTCCATCTGAGCCTGTTGATTTTTCTGAGAGAGAGTAGACTCCCTGTGATATTCCCAAGGAGGTAGGTTTTAGCTAAGGAGGGAGGAGCTTGCTGAGACCTTGTCCTGGTTGGAGTGGTAGGGAGCTCCTTGTTAGTGGAGTTAGATTACTCATCAGGTGTTGGGTATCTTTAGGGATGGAGCATAGTAGAGTTGGGAGGATTTAATCAAGAGTCTCCCCTCTAGCTTTCAACCCCCATTCATTAAGGAGAGCCAATGTCCCAATGGCTGGAGCCTGGCCCTCTGTATCTCCCTCATTCCCCTCTTCCCCAGATCATTCCTTTTCCTGGGTCAGGTCATCCAGGAGCAAATGAGGAGGTCCAGGATATCTGAATGGTGTTGCAGTTGGCATGATTATTGCCTTCCTTCTCCCAGGAGGCCCCATACTTCTTCTGAGCTTTGTCCCTACTCAAATTTCATGGTGGAGGTTGACAGATGGCCCATCAGTGTATTGGAAACTGGCTTCAGAATCTTTTTTTTTTTTTAAGATTTTATTTATTTATTCATGAGAGACACAGAGAGAGAGAGCGAGGGAGAGACACAGGCAGAGGGAGAAG